GCTGTTTATCTTTGTTGTGTTGAATTTCTCAGCTGTAAAATGGGGAGAATAATATTTTCTTCTTTTCACCTGTTTTTTGTTTTCTTTATAAACAGAATTGTCCTTCTTCTTTGCCTATCCCTCCCTGACATTTCCATAGCAACACATAACCCATACAATACCTGTAAATATTTCTTTCAAAAAGCACATATGGAAGAAAACCGCTATTTCTATGAAAACAGTAAGATTTATAATATATATATATATGTATATACATATTCTTATTTCCAGCACTGCATTTCTCCAGGTTAAACCAACTACCCTTTAAAAATAACACAGCTTGAAAAACAAAATCCAGCTGAACCATGCTCTCCTCTTACTATAAAGATCAGGCCTGTGCTCTTTTTGAGCAGACATGATCAGCATGTCCCTTCTTAGCAAACTGATTTTAAGATTGCAGAATGTTTTGTGGTGCAAGTGTACTAAATGTTAGGTGTTTGTAAATATACCTAACATTTGTAAATATGCCTGTACATACCTAACAGTAGTAAATAGTGTGAGTCCCATAAGCAGCACTCCAAAGCACAGGTAATGTCAATAAAATCAGTTGACTTCTGTTGGTACAGTGCGAGTATGTGAAAGCTGAATCAGTCCACTCTGTTGTTCCCTAATTACAGTGATGGCAGACGAAATACTTTGATTTGAAATATTTTGATATGTGGCAATCACCAACCTGAATCTCAATTCCACTTTTAACATGACTACAGAAAACTTTACCTGATTTAATCCCCTGTTCTCATACTTCCTCATTTAGTCAACAGTAAAGTATCTAAGCATTGCATCTAAGCTACAAAATTTCAGTGCGATGGTAAAATAGCTTTGAGTTATTGTGTAATTGTTACAGACTGATGCACAACATCCACAAGGTAACATAGGCCACAATATTCCATGAACTGTCATAGGAGATATCTGAGACCTTATTATTTCTTCATGAAACTCATTGGTTACAGTAGCTTGTCAGGAAGATGATGTGAGACTACCATAGTACTACATGTTGCTATACGCACCTGACATCCCTAGGAAATACCCCAGCTGAAACATTTTCCTCTGCATATGCATGTAATTAAGAGCATTTCTACCACTTAAGAGTGAACTGGAGCATTTTTAGTCATTTTAATTATCTTTTTCTTTGTATGTCAGTTCAAACAAACATGCATTATGTGAAACTTGAGATCAAAGACTCTAGTTCTGAATATGATAGAAGTGGATTTTATTATCCCAGAAAGGCCACCTAATAAAGCAAGACCTGAATAATTTTGATGTGCCTTAATGTGTATGTTGGGCCTCATAACCTGACACAATGAACTTACTGCTTGGTACATAATTGCAGCAAGAAAACGATTTCTAAAAGTTGACAGACTTCAGAGGGGTTTTATATCTACTTTTAGTTACTTTGACAGCTTAGAATTGTGATGTGAGGAAGTTGCCAAGGTTTTGTAGTGCAATTAAGTGACAAGGAAACTTTAAAGGGATTTAGATTTAGGCTGTAAAACCAGGCTCATTTCTGGATTTAGATTTGGTTTCAATGGAATGCTTTTCTGTTTTCCTGCCCTTAAGTTTTGGCTCCTCCAGCAACAGAATCAGAAAATACATTACAAAATTGAGGTCGTGCAGAAAAGCACATTCACAAGAAAATGCTATTCACAAAGTTCTGGAATTCTCCTTGTTTACTTTTTTTTTTTCTGTGTGGACTTTCCATATTTCTCACTTTCTGCTATCTATTCCCTTTCCTTCATTTTAACGGTAGTCCTATAGCACCTTTCTGACAACTTCAGAGTTTTTTAGTTTCCAGTTTTTGTTTCTCATAGATACAATTCTTCTTTTCAATGTTTTCTTCTTTTGTTCTTTTTTTTCCTTTTTCCTCATTCCTTTTTCTAATATTTCAGTCATGTGCTGCTTAAACCCTTTGTTTCCCCACTGCTTTCTACTTTCTCAACCAACATGTATTTTTTCCTAGTCCTTTACATTAGCACACCCTGATTTCTGCAAGAGTTAAGCCATGTGCTAAGTTGTTGGGTTTTTACCCATTTTTTTTTTTTCTCAAATGACATGTATTCTTTTCCCTAGTCCTTTAAATTAGGCCACTCTGTGCTCTACATAATCAGGGCTATTTTCAGTACTCATGTTAACTTATTTTATGATGGTTTAGCTATCTATACACAACAATGCAATCTCTTATGTAGATACTATCTGTCTCTAACCTGCTTAGCTCAGGTATCAATTACAGGGCTTTAGCCCAAACCCCAAATGAATGGCCATCTATAAAGAAGTTTTAGCAGGCCTGTAAAGCCCATATTTTCATTGTAATTGATACATGAGCTAGCTATATCAGTTTGATTACAGTCCATAAGTTAGATCAGCTATAAGCATATGTCACAAGTTTTCATTCCAAACATGTCTTAAGGTGCTCTTACCATGCTGGTCTTTTTGTTTTGGCCCTTTTAGCCTCATGTTACACTAGCAATGTGTGGGATCAAAGAGAGTATCTGGAATTAAGCATTTTCTTTGGATATCTTTGGATATCATTCTAGGGCTAGTTAGACTTTTAACATGATGAAGAAAAAGGAAATATAAGGCTTTTAAGGAATCATTGGAACCCAGTAAGTTGAAAATGCAACACCTGCTCCCTACAACTGCAAAATATTAAGTGCACAGGTACCTACTTAGAGAAATGTCCCTGAAGCACATGCCAACTGTTTTCTTATGATAGTGGTAACTGAGTCTTTTACTTGCAGATCTATTCCACATTTTAGTCTTAGATACTCTCATTCAACAAGGCATAGCTTAAAAAGATTTGGCTTTGAGTCAAGCAAGTTAATTTCTCATTTTAATGCAATGAGCAATAGACATATAAGTAAACAGGAAAAACAGAACTTAATTGTTACAAAAGAAAGTTTAGTCTCCACTGGTAAAGTATTTTTCAGACAGTTTTTTAAAGATGGAAAAAGCAGCCCCTCCACTAAAGAAAGGGATTATGTGATTTACATTCTACCACAAGACTGTCAGAATGCTGAAAAATCATCAGGCATTCTGAATGCCAATAATAGGCAAAGCAATGTAAAGTTCACGTGGGATATAGCAGAGGGACTGGCACAGTGCCTATTGAACTTTGGGTTAGAGCACTGTGGATCTGCTTCAAAGAGACTTTCATGCTCAGCATGTAACATGAGTCTGTCCCTTTAGCTTTTTGACCTGCTTTGAGAGCTCAGCTTTGTCAGAGTTACAACTATAATTGGGTCAGGGGACTCCAGTCCAATCTACCTGTCCCCAGATGCAGTTACAGGATTGTTTCTAACTTGTCTAGGGAACAAAAGTTAACCGTATTCCCGTAATGTGTCCCAGATATGGGGACATGGATCAGTCCTGCATGCTATGTGGCTCTTATGCTGTGCTGTAATTGCATCTTGGAACTGGGAATCTGGAATCCGTTACAGCTGCAGTGCAGGACTGACCAAAAGCAACCTAAAATTGCTGTATTCAAAAGGAAGGGCATTTCTTTGCCTTTTCTTGAGAATTCCAAGGAGCTTAAACTTTTTATCTACTTAATGTTTATGTTAGCCTGCTTTGAACTGCTCTTTCATACCTTAAATACCACTACAAAAATGCTTTCTTTCTTCTTCCCCCTATATAGTAAACTAATCAGAACTTCATCTTTATTTATTAGGCTCTTCTGATTTAAAGAGATTGTGAGTTCCATCAGACATCTGGTGGCTGAAAGCCTACCACAGAGACCAGGAGCACTAACAGCCTAATGCTGTTCTTTCCAGAACATCTGTCAGATAGCAGTTCAGGACTGAAGTGGCCAATGTAAGACCACTGGCAGCCTCTCACAAAAAAGTTCCTGCCAAACTCAGGATACAGAAATGTTTATAGCTACTTGCTAGTGTTCCCTGATGCTGTAATTAAGACTTTGCTCTGGGAATGTGAGGGCAATCATTGTCTTGTGCAAAAACCTTACACCTCCATCACAGAAGACCATTTGATTCGTATGTTTTGGGATCACGACTGTGAGAGACTGAAAGACCTTCCTTGTAGAACATTAGGAGACAGAAACACCTCTCATTATATATTTTAAGGATGCATTAAGTGTAGATCACACCCTTATGAACGACCAGCATAAAGACTCAGGTGTCAGTGGTAAACTTTGCTCTCTATATCCTTTTTTCTTGTTCCACAGTATGTTGGTGATATATTTCCTACAATGGAAAAAAAGTTTCTCTGACAAAGGGGATGCTGTTGCCTGCTTGTTGATTTGTTATAAAATCTAAGAAACTGACAGTTAAGGAAAAAAAACCACCACAAATCAAAGAACATTTCTCATGAATTAAAATGTCTTATGTATAATTACAGATTCAGGTATATTTTAAGGAAATAGCAGACAGCTTCCCTGAGGGCAGCCTCTGTCTTCAGTTTTGTGAGAAAGACAGGGTACAGCAGCATCCTCCACTAGGGTCAACTCATTTTGAAGTGTTGCAGTTTAACAAGGCAGCCAACAGTACTGAGATCAAATATCTACTTTATGGAAAGTATATTCATGCCTTTCCACAGATGAGGGGCAGAAATACAATGCCAAGCACATGATTACTACTTTCAAGATGTCAGACATGTCCTTTTCACAGTAAATACCAAGACTACACAGTCTTGAAGCCAACCTGTTCCAAAGAGAATTTAGCTCTCGTGCAATGCAGTGAAAGGTTTTCTGGATGACTTTCACATGATTTTCTGGGGAGCAGCAAAATATCAGACTGCAACTTCCTTTTCCTGATGTTGAGCAAATACTGTTTCCTCACACAAGGTATTTATTCACTATAAGCAATCGTCTGTCAAGGTAAGAAAAGAACAAAGATACAAACAGTACCTCACACCAACTTTTTGCTGTATGAGAGGTTCAGCTTGATGACTTGTATAGTATGCTAGTTTTATTGGTAAACTCATTCCATCAGAAATTATGAGCTTCCGTAGTTAAAAGTGAGAAATTCAGTTCTGGTAATCATGACAAAACAGACCCATGAAAAAGTTCATTTAAGAAAGTTGTCTTGTAAAAGGAAATTTGTGAAAAATATCAGTCCTTACAATGACCTTGATTAGGACTGTATTGATCCCCAGGAGGAAAATTATTTTAGGTCACAGACTGTATTGAAAATCATGCTGTTCTCAATTCCTTCTGTGCTGTCTTTTCCTCTTCTTCTAGTGGAAGAGGCTACAAGATCCTGAAATGCACAGAAAAGGGCAAGAAAATTAATTTTACTATTTTCAGAACATCACAAAATCCTGGAAACTAAACTTTTCACACTCTGGACCGAATTGTCTCTCTCGCTGGCATGTTGTTGTTCTCTGGTCCTACTCCTGAAGCATCTTGCAGAACAAAACAGGATTCTAACAGTTGTCATGACAATTGATATTGAATTTTTTGTGACACACCCAACATTTTCCCCCACCTATACTGTATGGAGTTGAAATCTTGGCTCAAGTAAATGGCAGATTACCTGAAGACATTGACACCTAGTTTTCAATCCAGGATATTACCACAGACTCAGATAACAGGAGAAACATGCTCATGAGGAATACATTCGGTGCAAGCAGCTCAATGTGCAGCTGCAGTGCAAGCTGCAGGTTGAGGTCTGGGTGGGGGGAACCCCAGGCAAGAGGCTGTGAGTTGGAATTGACCTTTTGAATAAGAAAGGGCACGGGGACCTGTAGCCCAGCCAGGAGACCGGACACTCAGAGAGAGAGCAGGAGCAAGGGACCCCAATATTTTCCCATGCTTAAGCTATGCAGGCATAAAAGCCCAGGGATTCCTTTGTTCGGAGTCCCTTCTTGGAGGCACCCAGCTCAAGTGGCTATCTTCTTGTTGGACCATGATTAAATTATTTCAAGGATCGAGACGACTGAGACTACTATGGAAAAGCTGGGGTCGAGCTGGTGAGGAAAGCTGGTCTGACTGTGTGTTGGGGGTTTGTAGCTGCGAAGGAGCTCTGGTCCCAGCTCAGACGGTGCGAGTGACTTCCAGAGTGGCTCTTGCAAGGTCAGGCAGGGAAGTTTCCTTGACACTCAATCTCTGACAGAGTTTGCTTTATTACTACATACTATATTGATGTTTCCCATCCTTAAAGAGGCAGTAATGAGTGCTACCACTGGCATTATGTAATGTTATTGTAACTTAGAAAGAAGACCACGCAATCTGAGTAAAAGGAAAGAACAGTAAAACCGATTACACTAGAGGAAGTTCAAGTGCTGTCTCATTTTTCCACTGTCCTTTCAATCATAAATTTATTTGGTTTTCTCTAAACCTGGTAGATGGAGGTTCACAGCTAATTGGGCCTGAAATTACTTTTTTCTACAATTGATTGAGAGTGCAAACCTGGGAACATAGACTTGAAAACCAGACTGAAGGCCAGGTGAAAACTTGGTCCCATGGTGTTAGCTGTTCTGTTGGCTGCCTTTCAGAGTAATTTGAAACCAATCCACTCTTCAGCAGTACAATGGAGCAATGTTCTACCTGGTTATCATAAACAGGACAAGTAAACAGCAGTGTCTAAGAGGGGTTAGAAAGCCTTATATACTCAAGGTCACAGTCTGGGTGAATGGCTTAGCTTAGCTCAGCTCCAACAAATCATAACAACCAGTGGCACAAAAGCACGTAAGTTTTTGTGCACTGATGGCAGGAAGATGAGCAGCACAGATGCTTCACAGAAAGTTCATCAGGCTTCACAGAAAGTTCATGATATGCAAAAGAGAATTAAATTTCAGTGATAACATATAAGAATTTTTATCTAGCTGAAATTTACAGGGAAGGAAATAACTATACAAACAACACAAACATTTCTCTTAATATCAATTTCTATATCAGGAAATGAAAAGATTATCAAAACAATCAGACAAAGCTCTTCCAACATAAGCATGTGGCATATGAGGATGTTATTAGATAATGTATTCCTTTGGATGCCTTGGGTAATTTAAAAAGCATTTTGTCTACTTTTGTTTATCAGATAACTGGATACACGAAAGCTAGGAGCAATTTAGTCCTCAACTGTTCAAATCATTAGCCTTGTTTGCAAAATATGTTTTATCCATTTTTTAAGGCAGGTCTCTCTGCAAACATCCTGATGGCATTTTATTACAGGTATCACAGAGTGGGGATGCAAGGAGAGAGCAAAGCTTACCGTTGCTGAAAGACTACGGTGTCTCCAGGAGGTGGTCACACTGACAGAGCATGTGAATCATAAAGATGATGCATGGAATTATGGGCTGATGGGGGATCTCATCTAAAGCCTGTGAAGATCGCTAAACAAAACAAAAAAATATCTTACTGCCCAACAATGCTGCAGTCGATATTTCATGTGGTAACTCTGCTACACTCTTGCAGTGGGAATTGTTTGTCCTTCCATTCTGTCAGAACAAATGCTCCCAAGATATAGGTGGATACTGAAATATATAGGCCAGGCTGGGTGTCTCCTTCATCCCTGGAGCCAAGCTGTGATGTGTATTCCCAACCATAAATTCTCCTATATAATTTTAAAGTCCTTAGAATATGTACTCAAACAAGGGAACATCAGAAGTCTTATGCTGAAAGTAGATTCCGTATGAAGCTAAGTGATTTTACTACCAAAGGCAGTCCTTACATGTATATTTGAATAAATCCATTTGATGTCTAATCTTTCTTTTAAATGACAACTGCCTCCCAAGTTCTTTTGCAGAAACTGAAACACAAGTACATGCTCTGAATCGAGGAAGTGGGTACATGCATGAAAATGTAACAGTGGTTAAGTGTAGGGAAACAGCTGGTACAAAATAGACAACACACAGTGAAGTCTTCTACTATAAAGCCTCCTGCATCCAGAGGCTGCAGGATTATTGGTTAGGATGATATCAAGATTTTCCTTTCCAAGGAAGGCAGTTATCTTAAATAAGCCATTGAGAAATGATAAACAGAAAGAAAAGAAAGGTAATGTAAATATTTTAAAACAAGCAAGTTCTTAAGTATCACATTCTTGTACACCAGTACCCTCTAAGCCTTAGAGTCCTATCAACTTGCTGATAAAACCAAGATTTTTGCCTCAGTTAGCACTGCAAAGAGCTCCCAGAGTAGAATGAATTCTGCTGTGTTGAATTGCAGGTTTTTTATTACCAGTGGTAATGTAAAAGGTACAAAAAGCAGCTCAATTCCTAGATCCCAAGAGCTATTAGAGTGCAAACAACCAAAAAAAAATCATACTCTGGCTTGTAAACTGCCCAGTTTTGATAAGAAAGTCATTAGCAGTGAATGAAGAGGGTCCTTTACAATGACATTGTTTTATAGCTGCTTCAGAAGCAGACTTTAAGGTCAAAAAGTACTTCACGTCTTCCTGCAGTAGAGACAAAATGCCATGTTTCAGGAAATCTGGTACAATTTCCTTTACTCTGAAGCTTCATGATTTCCTTTCTAGTTTCCAGGAGATATTTCTTTTTTATGGGGCACTGACATTTTATTCCTATGTCTACATCACTTGTGCTGCTGTTCCATTCTCCTGCTGTAGTCTGGGCTTTTGCCTTCTAAAGCATATCTATACATAATATGTGTGAATATATATATATATATATATATATATATATATATATATGCAGTTTATATTACTTAATTTTTTTTCAATCTCATTTTCTTCACTATCTTCTTACTTTACCTTTGTACTTCCTCTCCTGCCTGATTGTAGCTAAGTTTACAATGTGCAGTGTCTTTAAAACTCAGGAATTTAAATACAGTTATGAAGTATGAAAATCCATAAAGGATGCAGAGAATGAGAGAGGATCAATGTTTATCTCAACGGTAATGATTTGTGCTACAAGGAGCACTGAATGGGCCTGGAAAACAGCATAATCTCCTATGCCACAGGCAAGTTCTTCACTAATTTGAAGATCTACTGAAGAAAGTTTAGGAATAAGATGGAAAATTCCAAGTTTCAGAGCAAGCTGAGAGTTAAAAAATTCGTGACTTCATTCTGGCTTTAAGTGCTACCTAAGTGGTATTTTAGGTATTTTAGTCTTCCAACACCTGACACAGCTGCAGATTCTTTGGTCTTCTTTGGATCCTTATCTTCTGTCAGGAAGAATGTCATTCATTAATCATCCTACTTTGTTCCGTTGGGACAAATCAGTTTATACAGTTCATAAAAAATTCTGTAACCAACTCAGCAAAGAAAACACATTACTAGATAGCTCAATAACAAATGTTCTCATTGTAACATTTCTCTCTCTAAATCTAATTAACCTCCAAAGAGGAAAAAAAAAAATCTAAAAATTCCCTTTTCAGTTAGAAGGAAAAATTATACTAATACAAGTGAAAAGGGCAGGAAAAACAGAAGCAGAAAGATGAATGGAACTTTAACACATTCTTTGGGTTCCTGGAGCATATAGTCTTGATAGCAAATTGAACCTCAAAGTAATGGAGCCACAGCAAGGCAGCTCAGGTGCATTCCCTGTGAAAAAACTACATCAAGCAAGCAGCAAAGGAGATGTAATGGTCCATGGGTAAGCAGTCCAAGACTGTTACACATGGCAAGAAGCAAGACAGTTCTGCACAGAGGCTGAGTGTTGTAGAAACTAGTTCACATCCACCAACGTATCAAAATGTCACTCTGAAGTGACATTGTCCTTCCCTGCCTGTGCACCAGTCCCACAACTCATTTCTCCTCAACTAATCAAAAGATATTATACATGCCTTGGGCATTCCAGCCTCAACAGCACTGGTGTGTGTGCCTCAGAGAAACAGGATGAATGACCACTTTTGAGTTAGTTGACAACAACCATACATGGTAGACTTCCCTAAGAGGGATGCAAATCCGTGCAGTCTACTAAGAACAGGACTTATTTCAAGGGACTTCTGCTAAGAAAAATTTATTTCCCAGTATTTTTGTATGATTGTTATTCCTTAATTTTGGGTGATATATGCAGAATCAGATACACAAAAAAGGATACAGACAGTTATTGGGATTTCAAACTAATTTGCATGTGGCACTATGTTTACCCACAATTTTGTTTAAAGACCTTTTAAGAACTGCTTCATATCAAAATATACTACTAGAAGTCTGAAAACAAGTCAAAGAGATATTTGTCAGTAACTTTGTGCTGTGCTGAGCACATTAGTTGGAGGTACACTGAGCACTTCTAGGTCTGCCTGACAAAGTACAATCAGGTAGATTAGTCTGGTGATGCCTTAAGGTTCATAAGTGTATAGATTTTAATACAGCTTTTAGCACTTCAGTCATTTTAGGATAGAGTTTTTAACTAAATACTTTTGTACCAAATTCAAAAAGATTGTTTTATGTTTCTTGTCAAGGATTTCAATGGACAGATTTTTTAGCAAGTTAAAAGACATCTAGTCTGTAGAGAGTGTACCACAAGATATATCCAAGATATATAGTTTTAGTCGAAGCTATTCAGAAGGCACAGAATCCTTGAATTTGTTCGAAGCAGGACAGAAGACCTGAGGAAGACAAAGAATGGGAGGAAAGGAAAGAGTGGTTGTGGGAGAACACCCACCCAATTTGGGGAGTTGGGCCTAAGGGTATGCCTGAGGGAGGTCCTGGGTACAGACAATTTTGGGGATGGGTGTATCCCTATCCTGTGTGCATGTGCTAAATGTATTTAATGCACCTTAAAGTGCTATAGTTAAAGACCTGCTCTCTGTCTTACTATACTAAAATTGTCCAGAGAATTTTTCTTTGATTTTCAGCAACATTGGTACCAGAATTTGGGCTTTTGCCACATCATCTGTCTACAAAGGCAGAAGCCACCAAACTGTGATATGGTAAACAGACAAATGTTTCCAAATTCTCCATTGTTTCCTTTATTACAGCAAGCAGAATGCCAAATTCAGTTCTTCACAGACCTCAAACAACAGAATTAAGCTTATGAATTTTTGTTGATTGGATGACTACTGGGTTTATTAAAAACACATATTGAGTAACACACAAATTTTAACTGTAGGAATCATAGCTCTAGCTGATTCTACTGGAAATTAAAAATTGGCAGTATTCTGCATCTCACATGCCAGTTAGGACATTCACACCCGATTAGAGCTGTGTTATTTATACAGCTATAATTATCAATTTATCTATATTTCAGCCTTAAATTCTGAATTAGATTAGCATATCTTAACTCTGTGTGTCTTGAAGAGAGTTTTCCATGTAGAAATTCCCAGCTGCATTTCCCCAGGAGGCATATTAATTACATACACAGGAAAATATTACACAAAATTCAGTTTTAGGATCTTAAAGTCAACATTCTAATTTGTTCCCCTCCTGGCTCAATAACATGCCTTAAGATTATGATTAGCTGTTTTGCAGGTGCAACACTGGGGGGAAGGAGAGAACGAAAATTACTCCACCCCTATTTGACCAGCCTGGATAGCAGATGTGGCTGCCATTGAGTTTGTTTCCCCTCTTTCCATAAGCTGGTCACCAGTGCAGGGGCTGGAATAAATCCAGCACAAGTCAGTGGAGACGACTCTTTGTCCACGATATTGTGGAATATTGTTGTCTTTCTCTGTCCCACTGAAGCCTCCAGAGGAACATGCTGGTGGTACCTAAACACTTGGTCTGTCCTTGGCTGATTTCTGTGGTCATTATAAGTGGGCATCACAGCAACAAGTACAATCCTTTCCCTCTACAGGGAAATGTTACCAATAGTTGTGGCTGCATGATACAGCCAGATACAGCATTTTTGGTGAATGCCATGGTACCCAAAAATGTGACTTCAGCTGACTTAAATAATAAAAATAATGATTTTATGTTAAATGCATTGTCAGTCTTGGTTCAGATTTTTTTCTCCATGGTCAGATTCCCAAACTAGTGAAGAGAGGCAGGATACTGCTGTCACCCAAGCTGCAGGAGAGGGGCACTGTGCCGGGGTACACAACACATGTTCTCAGGGTCTCCTTGGGAGTGAGGGTGATGCTCAAAAAAGGCTCTAACCATTTGGCTCTCTTACAAATTCTGGAGATTAAAAATGCTTCAAGCAAGCAAAGTTACACTTTCTAATCAATGTGAAAACTGAAGTAATCAAGGTTATCATTTTCCAGGATCCCTTAGTCCCAAGAACTCCAACTTAATCCCTTGCTTCTTATTTATTCAGAGCAGTATGTTCTCATTTAAGATTTGAAACAGACCACAGGGTAAATGTTTTTATTATTATTATTTCATTATTAAGTATCTTTCGTGTGTATCAGAACAGGCCTTTTTGATCAATTCAAGAATATACCACACTAAAACATTTACACATCTGTAAACCTTTTTTTTGCTGGTATTGGA